ACAAAGCTAAGGTATGCGTATACGTGATCTGACAACTGGAATCAATTTCCTGTCGTTAAACTCTTTTTATTTTTAAGTTTTTAAAGCCTCTGAAGCCTTTTCTAAACCCTCTATTTTGGGGGGTTTAAAGGTGCATTTATAAAAAGGAGTAATTATTGAAAAAAAACAGAAAACTGTTAAAAAGCACCTTATTTAACAGAAAATACTCTTGTTCCTAACGTTAAACTTCCACACCTGTCTTTATGCAGCAAATAAAGCAGGACTTCTTGCCAAGATGCTCTAAAAGCCTAATTTGTACTTTCTAGAGTACGATCTGTCTAAAAACTTATTTTAACAAAAATTTTGTTGAGCTAAATAAAGCATACACCACAGAGATGTGGAGAGCACTGCAAGATGACATAAAATCGCCCAATCGAGAGTGGTCTTCTTCACACTCTGGAAGTCCTGTCCACGCTGGTGCAGACCACAGCAGACCACAGCAGGTGTGAATGGGAACTGAAAAGGCTGGTGGGGTTATTTTTAGCAGGTTGATCTGCAAAGTGCAGAACTGTGGACTATGCAGTGGTTTCAATGTTTCAAACTCCTTTGCCTTTTCCAAAATCACATCTTCAGCTTTCTGAGAAATCGAGAACCTCTTCTGTTTCTCTGAGGCAGATTTCTTGTATATGCCATTACCTTTTGTGATACACCTAGTACAGATGTTCTTGTTTAGGAGACTGGCAATGATTGTGACTACAATCCCACTGTGCAAAGATTCAGGAAAGAAAAGATCAAACTGTGCAAACATTATTTCTGGGGTTATGATGATTGTCTTATAGTCCTCTTTCTCTTCTTGAGGTGAGCTGCGTTAAACTGAGTACAGCAAAGTTGCAAAAGACCAAGGTACAGCACACATGCCTGTGTAGGAGTTAAAAAGAGCACTAAAACTCCCATTATGGACTATATGCACTGGTAATTATAGTAAGTGCCAAGTTTCACTATGCCTGCACAGTAGTTTTATATAAAGAGAAAGTCTCAAATGATATACAATTGTAATTTGTTTACACTAACACCTAGGAAGTGGGGGCTGGTGCAGAATAAAGTCCACAGTCAACACCTTTGTGATCTGCTCTTTGAGATCAAGGTGTTCACCCATCAGGGCTAGTGAAACAGACAGCACTCAGTCATGCTCCACTGTAGCAGAGGAAGGGTGGAGCTCCATGAAGATGCCTGGTGCACTGTGAAGTCTCTTCCACAGTGGACAGCAAACTGCAAAAACAGGTCTCTGGAGGACAAGCTGAAGCAAAGCAGAACTGTGGGTTACTGCAGCAAGCTGGTCTCTCCCTGGAATACCTCCAGCATGTGGTCCTGAAGGTGGATAGGATGAAAGCTGTCACTCTTTTAATATAAAACACTTATAAAATGTTTGTAATTGGTGTTTGAGACCCACTAAACTAAGGTGTTATCTCATTTTTAAAAGGAAGTATTGCGAGCATAACAAAGCAAATTTAATTCTGTATAAAAAATTGTTAACAAGTTCTCATTCCACGGTTGGAACACAGACAACCGGACATTTGAATATTCTTGAGAACATGAATAAGGACAATAAAGTTTTTATACAGAAACTTGAGGTTTCAGAGCTCATAGTTCTCCCAACCTGGCACATAGTTTGCAGCATTTCACAAAATGAACACTGGCTCAATGAGCTTCCATCTGCTTCCGGTAATTCTCCGACTTCTCTCCCATGATGTGACACTTTTCTCTTATTTCTAGCAGCTCTTCTGAGCCGAGATGGATTGCACAATGTCCTCTGTGCACTTTTGTGCTGAGAGAGCAACTTCTTAACCTAGAGCACGGAGTACAAACACAAATGGCCCAAAACTCAACTGAGTGAAAAAAGGACTTTTTCAGTAGATAGTTTGAGACCATACAGAACTTTTCAACTAAAATTTTTATTTAATCTTTATTTATCAGCAAAAATACCATCTGACATGTTTTTCAAACCTCTAAATGATAGAAGGTCAGACAACATTAAATTGCTTTGGAAGGAATTTTGATACTAGGGAGACATTTTATTTCTAAATTTAGCACATATCTTTATAACTGTAAAGTATGTGATATCGAGGTTAAAAAGTCAATTACTGAAGAGGATGACTGAAGGTGGGTTTTAAAGGACTTGTTAAATAAAAATTAATAATACTTCTGATAGTTGGAAAACCTGTGGTTTAAATTCAATTGTTCAGATTTGATTAAATATGGGAAGAAGAAAAAACATTTAAATAATATCCTCAATTGCCGATGTATTTCAGTTCTTTACTGATTACTATCTACAAATTAAAAACATACAGCATTTAGTTCTTAAAAATAGATGTTTTCAGAGCAGATTTTTCTACTCCTAAATATGACATGATTCTGTGTGGTAAGGTTAGCATCAAAGTAATTTATTGATAAGCAATCTCTGTAGTTCGGTATCATTATTGAAAGTGCAATTACAGTACTATAAGGCACACCAGACACTATAAACTGCAGCCTTATTTAAGAAACC